TATACATGGCAAAAGTTGGGGCATTTTTTTTATTCTCCCATATTTAATTGTTTTTGTTGCCGAAATCCAAAAACCTAGGCTCGGAGAGTTAATATAGTAATGCATATTTAATATGGCAAAACCTAATTAATTTAGTAATAAGCATGACTACTGGCAAACCACGATGTGACTACACTAACTTGTGTGATACACACCTATGTACTCGCCCTTTCATCATTTTCCGTTACAACTTTGCTTGAAGAGGTATTCTTAACGGAACGCGACCAGTCGTCCACGAAGTCGACCACATATCGAGCTCCTATTTTGAGCTGACCTTCATGGGCTAATCACATACTGTGAGTGATCTTTGACGAAGAGTTAGTCTTATGAACATTTTACACGTTTTAGCGACGTTCTCGTCGGACACTTTCCAGACGCAGACTTCACACAAACGAAGGAGAACGGGACAAATCCACAACGAAATGAGGTCAGCAACATGATTAAAGGCGACAAGACCGAAACGGATGTTGCCCGCCGGTTATTCTCATAACAGCGTTTTTTCTTCGATTCGTACTTTCATGCCACGTCATGCCACTTGCCACGCTGAGCGTGCAGAGCTATTCTGAGCAATTTTTCACTTGCGACTTATTGCCACACAATGTGGGCTAAATCAAACGGAATCATGTTCATTAAAAATCGTTCCCATGTGTCAGAAGTATGGGGCACGACTATCATGAGTGCGATATCCGAAGCAAATTGACTGAGGCATCGACACAAACTGGCAAACGATCTCCACCCGCCACATGTACGTTTATATAAGATCTGATTGGTCAAAATTGCAAAGTTTTCAACAGTGACTTTGTGGGGTCATGTGCTCTCAGAAGAGACACTTAAGATTAAATTGCTCCAACGAAAATTGCCTTTGTCCGAAATCGTCGCACTCATTACATTTCTTTTGAAGCCACCACAAGTTCGGTCGCCATGACCATGAGGCATCCGTTACCTTACTTTAGGTGGCCACTTTTGCTTTGAGTTCTGATCGTCATATGCACAGAAAACGGTTGTTCTTCTCGTCGGTGAGAATTTGTCATCAGTGCGCTTAAGCTGACACCTCAGAGCAATTTAAGCTATTTAGAACGCTACTAAATTTCGACTCCGTCGAATGTTCTGGAACTCGTTCTGGAAAGCGAAAAATGAAAATGTTGCAACTGATACGTTAATGGATATTGAAAGAATGATCGAAATTTAATACATTTTTACGGTCGTGTATACCTGCAGTGACATGTCTGTTCTACCTGTTCTCGAATATCATCTGGTCCTTCACCAATCATTATTACCGTGCAAAGTTTTTCTTTTCGAGTGAGAGGTTGTGTCAGGCTTGTTATCAAGCACGGGTTTCATGTCGGATCTAAAAAGTGCCGGAAGGTGCCACCAGGCACGAATATTGCTGTTTGCTATGAATGTCGATGAGCAAATTTTTTGGTGAAGAGAGGCCTGCAGATAATGCCCAGTGTTTAGATTGTACACACAAATTTACAAATGTTCACACCAGACCATGATACCGCACAAGCGTCAAAATGCATTTACTTAGGCATGTTCTAACTGCATTTGCTTTAAGTTGCAAACTTCATTGCAGTCGGCCACTTGATTGTACCCGTGCCTCAGCAGTTTGTAGCACGCGCTAAAAGTTTTGCTTCACATGTTTATTGTTGAAGCCAGTCTTCTTCATCGCTTCTGTTATCCTGAGTCTCCACATATGTAGTTCACATAGACAACACAAATAGCTCGTACATATTACGTAAGAAGGCCCACATTTTAACATGATGTAGGTTTACGGCTATTTATCAGCGCGTTGCCATGTCAAGCGTTAATGCACTCAGTCAGGATGCCATATTGTAGTGAATGCGCTTGATGTTAAGCAAGGATAGAATATGTTCCGCCTCTAACAGCCGAAAGTGCTGACGAACGTAGCTTTGTAATCAACTTTATTGTTTTTGTCATACAGCAAGCTTCTGCATTTGTAAAGGAGCTACTAGTAATACTGCACCGGCGTAATGAATTTCGAGGTTAGACCAGTTGTGGATGGAAATCGCGATAATTCAACTTGTGAGAAATATGGTCGCACGCAATGATTACTCGTCCTCCAACCTTTGAACGGCTCCGACTATGTTAAAATCAAATTCTTAGTATAATATTTAGTCTGATCACTAATTATTGCCTTCGTTAGCGACAAAGTATGTGCAATTCTATTATCCTAGATATATAAGAAATCAAGTTTGCTATGACAATCTTCATACTTTTTCTCATCTCTGCATTCGTGCCTGCCAGACGAAACAGCACATCATAGAGGAGGTTGTATCTTTGGAGTGTCGCGGCGAAATCATCGAATTTTTTTATCTCGAGTCTCTTTGCCTAATGACACTATATATTGCGTAAGTACACTTGTTATTGCTGCGCATCGTTGGAAACGAATGGTTCTAAGATTGATGCTTTAACAGATCAGCTTTCGGATCAGACGTAAAAGGAAATCAGCAGATCGAGGTGATGAAGTATCACCGCATCTTATGTACAGCCATAAACGATGTCGGTGTTATAGCTTGAACGAAAAAGATTGACAGTGACTATTGGACTCCGTTCTGCAGCCGCATCGAACAATGAGGTCGATGATATCGCTACTGTTTGAAAAGGAATCTAGCTAGAAGGATTCGCAACAGCCACAATGAATTATCACACCTCAAAATTCGATCACACCACACTTGGAGACAAATCACAAATTACAAACACTTTGCTGATTGGCCTCGTACGCTGGCGAGCATGATGCAGAAGGTGATCTACAATTTCTCAGCATATACTCAAGCGATTGATAATCCTTAACTTGCGCCACATAATTGGATACTACTGCCCCTTCGCTGCTAGCACCACTCCAAAGTCGAAAATTTGGTTGCCTACCGCCTCTTCAAATGTAAATTCAGTAACTGAGGCATCGACTACCATGTGTTCCGACCTCTGTTCTGACCTCAAAACTACTTTTTGTGCGTCCCTAAGCTCGACGAAGGCTTCAATGGTTCTTTAAATCCCTATGCCAAGCCTTACTAGATTAGGCTTCACCCTCGCAGAAGAATGTGATCTTCACGATCAATGCACCTTCACTCGCCAGAATTCCTCTTCGTAAGTTAGATGTATCCAGTTATTGAGTGTCATGTAAGTTTATACATCTGATGTATTAATACAGGTACAAAATCCTTCATCCTCTAATAAGATTTTCTCCAATAATCTGTTACCACAATCCATCTGTGTCACTAACGTATAATTCAATTAGACGACGGGAGGGATAGCCAGCCAGCCACATCGCCTTGTTTCTTCTACCACTTTGGCTTTCTCAATCAGGCCAGTGATCCTGCTCATAATATGAAAATTGCTCAGGTGCTTGCGGTCGCAGTGGCAATGCCCGCTGGGGTCCATGCTTACGTGTTCTCAGAGACTCAAGCCACGACCGCCTCTGTTTCCAATCACGCTCAGCTTTCTAACAACGAGAAGAACCGCATTTACGGCGGCACTGAAGCCAATATAGAAAAATACCCATATATCGCAAGTCTCCGCTTCGAAGCGGAAGACCAGACTTTCTGCAGTGGTACTTTAATCGCCCCACGATACATTTTGACCGCTGGTCACTGTATCAAGACAGAAAAAACTATCATTGCTCACTTTGGTACAAAATTAGGTAAGGGCTCCGGTGCGGTCGAGGCAATTAAAGTCATCAAAGGATTTCAGCACCCCAAGTACAACCAGGAGGATCATTTGTACGATGTCGGTCTATTAATGCTTGAAAAGGCCTCGACGCAGAAGACAGCGAAATTATGTGCCATTGATGGCTCGAACAATCGTGTTGGAACGGAGGCTACTGTGCTAGGATGGGGGGTCACTGAAAATGGCACAGTGAGTCCAACGCTTAGAGAAGTAAACGTAGCCGTAATTTCCAATGCAGAATGCAATAAGCAGTACGACAATCGCATTACGGAGGGAATGATGTGTGCAGGGAATGGCAACGGTAAGGATTCGTGTAATGGTGATTCAGGTGGTCCGTTGATTACGAAAGACGACATTTTGATTGGATTTGTGAGCTGGGGCGGTAAGTGTGGGGTTCAGGCTGGCGTGTACACTCGCTTGCCCTTTGTCATGGATTACATCAACGAAATTGTGGACGGCGGCAGCAGTGGTAACCTGACTGAAAATTCATCATCTGATTTGGCCTCACGGGTTGCACCACTTCCATCAGCTTCAGCGAATACGACGCAGACGCCAAATTTGACCAGCGCTGACAAGATTTCTACTAAGCTTTCTTTCGCAGACTCATCGCCTGTACAATTGCCTACTGAACCGGTGAAGACAACGGAAGTACCTTATCAAAATAATCCGACAGCATCTTCCCAGTCGCCAACGACAAAGGGATTGAACTTTGGCTCGCCCAGTACTACTTATAGCACTAATAGCCTTGAGGGGGTATCAATGATGAGTCCCGCCAAAGTAGCTGGATTTGCCGTTGTGGTTCCATACTCCACAGGCTGTCATGTCCGCCGTGGCAGCAGCCGACGTCTGTATACTGAATCGGCAATGATTGATGAAGATACGGAGGAGGACGAGCAGGAAGCAATAGCGAAGGAGGATGAAGCTGCAAAAAAACTGGTGGAGGGTCTAGCTAACAATAATAGGAAAGAAATTGACGAGGCCGTTGCGGCTGGGCTAGCTGCAGAAAATGATGCAAAGGAAGCGTTAAAAGAGTTAGACCTAGAAGCGACTCCGGTGTCGGAGGAATTAGTGGAGGCCGAGAATAATTTGGCTGATGACAAGAAGGCTCTGAAGGTAGCCAAGAAGAAAGAGACTGCAGCTGCCATAGAGATAGCGGACGGTCTGGCATCCGGCGACGACACGAAGATTGAAGAAGGCATCAAAGCTGGTATTGCTGCCGAGAATGAGGTAAAACACGATGAAATGGTGGAGCAGATGGATGAGGATATCGAGGAAGAACAGGTGGAGGAACTTGCGAAAGAAATCGAGGAGGACGAGGAGGCTGAGTCAGAAGAGGATGAAGAAATATCCAATGCACCTACAAAGTCATCAAAATCCATTAAAACGGCCGACGATAAAGAAATCAAGGAGAAAGACATCGAGGAGGACGATGGGCAAGAAGTTGAAATAGATGACAATGATAACGAAGATGACGAAGAGGAAAAGGATCAACTTCGCAATCGCCGTCGTCTATCGCTCAAAGATTTGGCAGAGACCGAAAAACACTTAAAGGATGACAAGAAGGCTGTAG